GAAGGATTTTACCGCAAGATGCAAGGGCATTGTGCAGGAAGCCATGAAGTGGGCGCCGCAAGCTACCAAGTCGCATTTACAAGAATACATTAATCAAATACCATCTTCCGGCATGCGAAATCATTCTGGTTTGTCACTGGCCATTGACTCAGTCCTTGAATTTGTGGATACTGCGATTCCCACAATAGTTCCAGCAAATGTATGTAATAATGTTTCAACGTATCACACATCGTTTTACTTTGAGTTTTAGAATTATCTTAATATAATTCCACCAATAGTTTCTATCAATATAGTTCAATTTTAATTTTCAATTCATTTTTAATCTTTTTCTAATTTTAAGAATTAGAAAAAAAACCAGTTGAACTGAAATTAAAGTTAATCTACATTGATAGAAACGGATACTAGCCATTCGTCTTTATGAACGCATTGGAACTATATTCGATATTAATTTTATTAACGGAAAAATGTATTTAATAGACAAATTCCTTGGATAAAAGGCCACGCGGTCCAAAGGGCGCGAGTTCGTGGTTGCTATCGATGATGTCTACAAGATCATGGCATGCCGGTGAAGTAGCGGGTATGCTCGCCCTTGCGCGCACCGAATCGCCAACTGCGGAAATGACTCTCGAAGAGTGCAGGGATAAAGTCGTCGAGAGATTGATCGAAGCCGTTCGCCGCGCCTGTCAGGATCGCGATGATACCACCCATCGAGGAGCTCTTTGGCGTGCTACAGCTCTTTTAATATCCATGCCTGGTAAATTTAAACTAATCAACTTCGTAATTTTAAACCTTATGGAGTTAAACAATTAATTTTAGAAAATTGGATTTGTTAATGCAATTTATTGATCAGCTTTTTTTCTATTTGCACTAATTGGATTTTGTATTTTTAGGTATACACAGACGATTATTACACACGGTTGCATGCTCGCAGATAGAACTGTTCACGACTGTAGCTATGACCACAGCGGTCGAGTGTTGGCAGTGGATCTTAACTGTACGACCAGATTTAAAGTTACGATTTTTACAAGAGATGTTACTCGCATGGCAGTATACCGTTGATAAGAAAATGGGTCTGTTTACACCGAACGAGCAGGAGGTCAGTCCTCTTGCGGTCTATGAGGGTTGCAAACTCGGTCCTAATCCGCCGTATGTAAAACCGCACGATATCTGGGTGACCTTCATAGTGGAGCTCGTCGAGACGGCCAAGTACTGTTGCCAGGAGACAGTCGATATGATCGCTTTACTCCTGCATCGCTCATTACCTATGACCGTCGGTGCATTTGGCGAAGAACCCGGCATCACGCGACATGTCGCCGCGGTCGGCGTGCGTTTTAAACTTCTTTCATGCGGCTTAGTACTGCTGCAAGGTGACGTTTTACCGAGGTAATATATTTTTTTTTCATTGTCGCGTGAATAACGATGATAGGAAAAATAATTGGATCTACTTTCGCAGAACTTTAAGTAAGAATGTCCTGCGAGAACGTGTCTATTCCAATTGTCTGGATTACTTCTGCCGAGAACGTCAGTTGCCAACCCAAGAAATTGACCAGCTTGGCGAAAACATAGTTACACTCATACGTTTTTGGCAGGTAAGTGCAGCATGTTAAAAATTAAAGAGCGAATAAGATGTTCTGATTTATAATAAATAATTTATAAATTATCGTAAACATAGAAATGTATATGAAATTATCTTTTTTATTTTCTTAATAAAATTTATAATCACGATTGGCACTTATAACTCTGTTTTATGTATTTCCGCAGGTGATGCATAGCGACAAGAAATACTTAATGATGACAGGAGCTGATAATGAATTTGAGATAGTGACATCTCAAACTTATACAACCGCAATGATTCCAAGTGAGACAATTGGTTCATTAGCCGCCACATTGGCTCCTACGCCAAACGACTTCTCAAGATCTTCCAGCAACGTGTGGATGAGTACCATGCCTATGTCGACCAGCACCAATACATTGAGCAAACGTAGCAATCGCAGCAAACGAATTGTAAATGCCAATGTTCTTGTGAAAGATTACATCAAGAAGCGAAATTTGATTCTTGAGTTATTAGCGGTTGAAATTGAAATGTTACTAGTGAGTTCTCAATGAATCACTATAATTTGTCGCGTTTTAATGAAAATCAGCTTCTCAAACATGAAAGTCTCGTTTCTCGTTCAGGTCTGGCGTAATCCCAGCGGAAGAGCAGAACTCGCGTTGCAAGGTGAAGTAAGTATCGCAGATTGGCGTGCCAAGGGGATGAACGATCGCTGGCGAGAATATACGCGACTCGCATGGGAGATCAGTCCCGTTTTGGCCATATTTTTGCCGGTGCGATTAAAGAATCATGAGGTCATCATCAAAGAGATTTGCGGCTTAGTACGCCTTAAACCCGTACCAGTTATGCATTTGTCGGAAGCATTGCAGTATCTTGTTACAACGGACACGCTTCTCAACGATGTACCTGAAGTGAGATTTTTAACTTTACTCTTCGTCAATAGTTATAAATTATTCAATCTCTACTTAGATCTATTAGAGATTGTTATCTCATTTATAAAATTTGGATTCTGTTTCAGTTAGTTTATATGTTAACATGGGCACTGGCATTTTTCTCACGACAATTCCCGCATCATCCCATCTCGGCGCAATACGCGGTGCACGTATTAGACAGCTACCCCGCCGACGCCGTGCTCTTCTATATACCTCAACTAGTGCAAGCCGTCCGTCACGATTCAATGGGCTACGTAATCGAATTTATTAAGAAGATTGCTAAACGATCACAGGTACTATAAATATTGAAAAATTTAAATTGTAAAATTTAAATTGTATTAAACAAAATTAAATGTAACGTGCTTTGGCTTGACATGTTTTAGGTAGTGGCACATCAGTTGATATGGAATATGCACACTAATGTATATATGGACGAGGAAAAGCAGATGAAAGATCCAGTACTGTACGATGTATTAGATTCGTTGACAAAGAATATTCTGAATGCCCTGTCTGGCCCAGCAAAACAGTTCTACGAGAGGGAGTTCGACTTTTTCGACAAGATTACTAACATCTCGGGCGAAATTCGGCCGTATCCCAAAGGGCCGGAACGCAAAGCCGCGTGCTTGGATGCTTTAGCAAAAGTCCAAGTACAACCTGGTTGCTATCTACCATCGAATCCCGAAGCAATGGTCATCGATATAGATTATCAAAGCGGTACTCCTATGCAAAGGTACGATTTAAGATAGTTAAAAAGATAATGATATGAATTCTGTCATAAAATACTATGCAATTATCTTATAATTACAGTGCTGCTAAGGCACCATTCTTAGCGCGCTTCAAAGTACAGAGATATGGCATCAATGAGCTCGAGAATATAGCGCTAGCAGTGTCGACCAACGGAAAAGTCGACAGCAAGAAAGATACAGAACAGACGTGGCAGGCCGCTATTTTCAAAGTCGGAGATGACGTCAGACAAGACATGCTCGCCCTGCAAGTGATCAGTATCTTTAAGAATGTATTCCAGAAAGTTGGGCTGAATCTGCCACAGCTCCCGGGGTAAGATATACTGATTTCTTGTAATGAATATGCTCTTTGATAGATAGATTATATCTCATTTATAATTATATTGTTATTAGTGCGGTGTAATAGAATGTGTGCCACATGCAACGTCGAGAGATCAACTTGGCCGTACAACGGACAACGACATGTATCAATACTTCATAGCGCAACATGGCGACGAGACAACCAAGGAGTTTCAAAACGTTCGACGCAACTTTGTCAAGTCAATGGCGGCGTACAGTGTGATTACCTATCTCCTACAGATAAAGGATCGTCACAACGGCAACATCATGATAGACACCCAAGGCCATATCATACACATTGATTTCGGTTTTATGTTCGAGAGCTCGCCCGGTGGTAATCTGGGCTTCGAGCCCGATATCAAGCTGACTGACGAAATGGTCCTCGTGATGGGTGGTAAAATGGAAGCTGCGCCGTTCCGTTGGTTTATGGAACTGTGCGTGCAGGCTTTCCTCGCAGTTAGGTAAATATTATTTTCATCAATATCGTTTTAAAAATCTATACTACATTCTATATATTGCAATAAAAAAATAAGATTACATTTAGGTATATATAAAGCTGTCTCGAACCATTAATTTAATAAGTAGTAATTTAAATATATCCTTAAATATTTTTTATTTCGTAGGCCTTATCAGGAAGCTATCATCTCTCTCGTCTCTCTCATGCTCGACACAGGATTACCATGTTTCCGCGGGCAAACTATTAAACTTCTACGCAGCCGGTTTGTGCCGACCGCCACCGATCGCGATGCGGCGATCTTTATGATCAATGTAATACGTAACAGCTACCTCAACTTCCGTACGAAAACTTACGATATGATACAGTATTATCAGAATCAAATCCCATATTGAATTATTGTCGGGAAACTTACTACTCCGTCTCCTTTCCTTCTTCCTTTCCCGTCCGTGTAATCGTTAATAGGCGACGCTTTATGCTCGCTATGACTGTTGTTATTGTATTAGAATCAGGTACTTTATTGTACTGCAATTGTTAGATATCGCGGTATAACCACTGACTGTGAAACTGTACAAATGCATTGGTGTCAATATTACTTCTAGTATTTTACGAAAGCGTTTAATCTTGTATGTATGTAATAATGTATTATATTTATCTACGAGAGATCGCTTATATATGTATATGTCTGCCGTATGCAGCACATCTGTATACGACTACATTCCTGTTTGTTATTAATTTATGCACTGTTAATGGATAAAAAATTAAATTAATCATGACAACATATTTAGAAATCCTCATCTCGCGATGCATTTTAATTCTCAATTACAACAGTATTTAATTAAATTTTAACAGATATTCTGTAAAATATCAAGAGCTATATGTATACACATTTTTTATTTCAGCTTAATGTTTCCTTATGTCTTTATAATTTTATGGCGTGATTATTTTTAGAGGATGTAATGAATAATTAAACAAATAAATAAATGAAAGCAATTTAATTTATTTTCTATATACAATAGCTAAGCAAACTAATTGAACAATGTTATATAGACATCAGTATGTTTGTAACATAACACTAATAGTTAGCTTTATTCTGAGAAGTTAAGAACACCAATTATAGGTTTTCCCCGGAGTGATAAATTTCTTTTCAGCGACAGATGCCTTCCTAAAAGTTTCCAAGAAAATGTCTTTAACATCAATAGTTTAATTTGTATATTCAAGAAAGGATTTCTTTTTATATTTCTAAATTTATTTCTTTCCATAAATCAATTTTTTTAATTATTCTGATAATATGGCTGCATGCAAAAAAATTTTATATACATGTTAATTGATTTTAATCCTTCTGAGGCTTATTCTGTAATTCTTAATTGTAATGATTACGATATCATAACAGCTGGTAAAAGTTATAGAATAGGCCTCTTAATGTAAATTTTAAATGTAAAATTGTTAATATGCTATAATATTATGCATTAATATATTATACATTAATATATTATTAATATTATTTCACATAATTATTGTCTATATGTACTTACTCTGTAATTTGTTTTACTCCATCAATTAATATCGGTGGCTTAACTTCTCGTCTTGCATCTCGAGTGTAATAGTAAATTTGCGAAGTTTTGTGGTATGGACCACCTGGTACATTTGGTGGAGGTTGAGTACGCTTGGCTTGGTCATCAGCGTATCTATGGGCCAGTGTGATTTTACGCTGTAAAAAATAAAATTTTAGACATATACCATCAAACTGTTATATAAAAACAACTAAAGGAACTTACACATTTTTTAATTATTTGCTCAATACTTAAAAAAAAAATCTTTTGCCGAAAAAATATGTTACTCAAATATAATAGATATTTCTAATTGATGTTTTTAACTTCTCAGAGTTTATCATGAAGGATATGCGATACAAATGCAACTTTTTAAACTCCAAAATTTCTATTATATTACTATATCAAAGAATCATGTGAACATATTGCAAATAAGAAGAGAATAATTTGCAAGAAAAATATACAAATTTTCCATAAAACGTCAGTCAAATTAAATTCAGCACATCTGGATATAACCTCTCAATAAATGTAACAATTAATAACTCATTTTCCAGGCAGACAACACGATTTCTTCAGAAAATGTGTGTATTTGAATTAATAAATTGAAGACTAATGCAAAACAGTATATAAAAATTCAGAAAAGTGTAAGGCAGATTATATAATTAGAACGAATGTCATCACTTACACCTCGACAAACATCTCGAATAAAATTTATTAATGGTGTAACATTCCGGTGTTCCACTGAGCCCGGCATGCTTTCTTCGTAAATTGATCGATATGATAATTAAACTTAATACGATATTATATTATTTACTTCCGTAGAGAGTCACAGTTATTAACCTTAATCTCAACAAGTAAATATTGATAAATACACTCGCATAGTATCGATATAACTATGCGACATGAATCGACTCGATTCTTCGTGACGTTTTGCAATTTCGTTTCGATATTAAACGGTATAATTTTTATTTCATTAAAAAATACCATCAATTGGTGAACGTATAATTTTTAATTAATTGTAAGATAAGAAGACAAATTCGTCCTACTTTTTTATGTGACTACTTTAATAATAATCAGACTCTTTACGCAATGAAATAATCTAAGAATTCGAAAACTTTTAAATTTGTTCGTTTTTTTTTTAAATAATTCATTGTTTATAATCTTTTTTTTTCTATGTATACTGCTCAATTCAAAATTCTGAATACAAGATGCAGTTTTTCAATCCAAATGAATCTAGTTGAATCCAATTGAAAATAAAAGAAAAAGGTTCTTTTTTTATTCAATTGAATTCAATAGAACAAAATAGATTTAAAATAGGTAAGAGAGAGAGAGAGAGAGAGAGAGATTAAAAAAAGAAAAATATAAAAAGAGAACGAAAGAAGGGAAAAAAGAACTTTTTGGAATTTAATTGGAATCAATGGACTGAAAATACGAATAAAAATTTCAATTCGCATTTTAATCCATTTTCGATTAGGGCCCGAACTGTTGTAAAGTGTAAACACAACGGCGAATGGCGGCAATGGCGAACGTCGATGGCGAATAGTCAATTAATTTGTGCTAATTCGTTGATAGCAGCTGACGAAACGAAAAGGTAAAGGAGAAAGGAAGTGGATATCTTGGATGCGAGAGACGAGCGCGAGCAGTGAACCGGTAATCGCTACGATACGCATCTGCGTGAACGAGGGGGATTGGGAGGAAGAGGGAGATCGGCAAGAAAACAACATATGGACGCATTTGAGGTAGATGAAGATTCCAAAGTTAAATATTCACGAGAGACAAAGTAAGGCAAAGAACTTCGAGAAGGCACCTTCTCGCGTCAAATCGGATACGATTGCCCTATACGATTCATATTTAACAAGTAAGAGACGACGCGTTTTGCGTGTAGGTTAGAGTTGCACAGAGATTAAAGTTTATTAAGATTTCTGTAATCATTGATGCGTTAATGATCAGTTAATAATACATCAGTGAGTTAATTGTTGAACATTCGAGTTTCATTATAAGACAGAATTGTAGTCTAGACTGTGGTCAAACATTTGAACTTGACATAATTAGATTATGTTAAAATTTAATTGTCATTCTAGTCATTAATTCATCAATGATATAGTTATGTGACAGAATTGTAGCCTAAAACTGTAGTCAAATATTTGTATTGGTTGCCAGATAGATACGTTTTCTATAGCTAAATATACATTTTTAGCTAAATAATATACAGAACTTAAAATATGTTTGTTATTTAGTTAAAGGGAGAAAGAAAGTTCTAGTGCAGAAATAAAAAAAAAGTTGTGTATTTATCTTAGAATTATTGATACTCAATTATTAATGCTCAAATTATGTTACAGTAAAAACTGTAGCTGTTGAACATTTGAGATCTGCAGTTGGATCCATCATTGTATACAAGGAAGCGTGAATTTGTGAGAGCCATATTGTTTATTGTTCGATACTACTACTTGTCGCATTAAACATATACCAACATGTTGACGGAACAGAATGTGATTATGGAACTAACTGGTTCTAATGATACAGTGATTGGTTTTATTACTACCGATGACGGTCATGCGCTACTGATAGTAGATGGTAAGACGATAGACTTAATATATATTAATATATATTACACATTATAAACAATATAGATATAACAAAACAATATAGGTATAATAATTAAAACAATATAAGTATAATAACTGGAAGATATCTAATATCTTGATTCTGTTGATAACAATTTGATATTGTTGCATTGCCATTATACCACTTTTTTACCAAGTATAATGTTCAATGACAGTATATATTGGCACTGTCATTAAGAATGATCAAAATGAAAATCAGAATACAATTGTATACATAACTTTATAACTGCAATGCATATATTATATAGCTTTCTATATGCATAATAATTAAAGATTTATCGACACATAGAATTGCATATTTAGCTCATTGGACTTATCAGAATTGTAATTTAAATAAATAAACAGAAATTTGTCTAATGAACACGTATATGTTCTATTAATGTCAAAACCACTAAAGATTTTTTTTCAGAACGTGAGGACGGTACACTGGAATTTATGACAACACCAATCACATTTATGCCACAGAATAACATGGTATCTCCAACATTGATAAAGACGGAGGACGGAAATTTTATTTTACATTCGGTATGTGTAACTAATAGTAGATTTGTTCTTTTTAGCTGAATTTTTTTGCATAATTTATCATTCTTCTTTTTCTTTTCATGTTGAAGAGAAAAAAAGAGGAAAAATGAACTATGCACAAGAAATTCAGCTAAAAAAAAACAGATCTAGTATTTTAAAAGCGTTGAGCAATAATAAGATGATCTGCGTTTGTTGGACGTTATATGTTTTTTTCTATTTCAGCCTATTTTCCAAATGAATGTGCAGGGTCTGTCGGGAACTGCGATGCAACAAACAAATCTACTGCCACGGATGCAATATTTAGAAACTAGATCTGCAATTACGGAACAATTAAAAGTACAAGATACGAATGAATGTGCAGTTACAGAATATCTATTACCTATTAGAGATAATAGCAGTGTGTTATCAGACAAAGGACAATTGACAATTAACAATCATACTAAAAGCAAATCTACGCCTGTATTTAATACCATACAAAACGTCTACAAAAGATCTCCAGGGAGACCAAAGAAGAACGAAGTAAATCCGCAAGTATGTTAATATTATTGATTGATATCTACAACTGGAAAATATTTTTATCATCTGAAATGAATTAGCTGTTAACATTTTACATAGGAATATAAGAATATAATTTTATTTTATACGTTATATAATATAAATTATTCTTATCACAAAATTATATATTAATATTTTGTTATAGAATACGCAGTTTCTGCAGTGTGATATATGCAGTCAAAAATTTACTAAACAAGCATTATACCGTAAACATATGGAAAATCATGCCGAAGAAAAACCGCATAGATGTCCTAAATGTCCAGCATCATTTAATATTCCAGTAAGTCTTTTAATATCTTTTCTATCATTGAGATTTTAAGAGAAAAGAATTTCGTAATATGTTTCTATCTTAAGGAAACTGATATATTTATCAAGTATTCATTATATACTCATTATATATAATACATGTCGCTGTACATAATTTAATTAATATATATGACATAAATAAGAAATTATATTATGATGAAGAAAATAGAAAAACAATTACATAACTAAAAAATATATCTAGAAGACTTCTGCCGAATAAATTTGCTCGATGCGACTAATCTTTTATAGAATTAAATTAATAATAGTAAGAGAGAAAATTGCTTCTTGATCTTGAATGTGTTTGCAATAGATTCAGTCTAGTAACTTTATATAATGGTATCATTACAGACAAATTTCACGCTTCATATGGCAACGCATAATACCGGTGACCCAAAATGCCCCGAATGCGGTAGGAAATATGCTAGAATGGCGAGTCTCAAGTCTCATATGTTGCTGCACGAAAAGGAGGAAAATCTCTTTTGCACGGAGTGTGAGGATGCCTTTTCGACGAAGGTAAGTTTGAGATTATTCACATTTTATGTATAAAGGAAATTTTTTTCTATATGTAAAATTGTGGACTGCTGTCCAAGATTCAACAATTTTGTACATACAATTTTAATAAGTTAAAATTTTAATCACAAAAAGACAAAGGTTTTTGAAACCTCTGATGATTTTGAAACAGTCTATAAAAGCTGTATCGCGCTACGTAAGATTGCTTTATCGATGCTATTCTACTAATGTGTTTCTGCTGATCGCGCAGACCACCGATAACATTCATCATTATGAATACAATATTCATAATTATTGCGGCTAAGGTCTAAAACATTGGTTGCTTGCCTTGTGTTCGCTTATTCGTTTCTCAATTGATTCACGTGTCCTAGTTTACGTCGAGGTCATAAACCTCGATTGATAACATACAAATTCTAATTACCTATTTAACACTCGCAAATCTATGAATTGTATTTGTCATTGTTTTATAGCATCTTGAACGATTGGTAAAAATAAATTCTCTTTAGTAAAAATTATCGAATAAAATTTAGCCAGAATAAATTTGATTTTATTAGTAAACTGAACAAAATGGATTTTGATGTTACGTCTAATCAAGAATCGATCTCGGTGACCCGTTATTTATTTGCTCGCCGCCAGCTATCCAACCAAAATCAAATAATCATAGAAAAGAGGAACTCGCGATTCTCACCATGTTCTTCATAGCAGACTGCAGCAGGATAAATAGAAGAGATGATTTAATAATTCCCTTCAATGTTCTCGAAGATTAAGAGGACATTATCTCATAGCGTCGTCAAAGTATGCTAGCAATGATCGGCCTTGTACACTTTATAGCCATTAATGGTATTTAGTTGCTTCATCTTTGCTACATATTCATAGAAGTATCTGTACAATTGTAGCAATAATTTAAATAAGAGGGAATGGAATGAATCAATATATTCGAGATAACACACGTTAAACGCACTTTCTTCTGCTACTGATCAATTAAAGTTCTCGATTAAGCCCTTTAATTGATCAGTATAGTAGAAGAAAGTGCGTTTTTGCTAGGAGAAGATGTTTTCTCAGTATGATGCAATCCCATGTATCCGGAACAATCTTCTAAGTTTACGAAAACGATAAAAATCACCGCCGATTGTCGAGCATGCGTGACCGTGATAACGTGGGTTGTAAAATGTGGGCAAGTGGGCGGCAACAGCGGTCGTATTAATGGGGCGCACACGAATTACGCAACCGAATCGCATGATCTCACACAGATCTCTCGCCGATTGGCTTCATGTTTGACCACCAATACGCACTATGCGTCTACACTCACATGCGTGAACGCTCGTGTGATGTCGAAATGTGGAGACTCCAGGAAGCGTTGCGTCGCTGTATCATGCGTTTCTCGGCCAGTATTTAATATTGTATACAAATACTCATTTTAGGTGGGGCATTTGGTTTACAACAAAAAAAAATCAATATAGAGAAAAAGATCATGGATATATCCAGAAAGGATTATACTAGCTTAAGAATTCAATTTATTATAAATAAAGAAAGAGTCAAAGAAAGAAAACGATATAAGCCTTAATTTTAGTCACAGAGATAGTCATTATAAATATTGAGCAATATATTTGAAGATAGAGAAGACTAAGGAAATATGAAAATAAAAAAATATTAACTGTTAATATCGAAGAGAGATAATAATTACGTTCAGAAAAAAAAGAGAGAAGAATCAAAGGAGATCGAAGAAAAAATGTAGAGAAAAAAACAGACTGTTTATATAAAGATGATATGAATTTGAATTTTTCGAGCTATTAGATTTGATATAATTCGTCTACTGTGACATTTCTCGGATAAATCTGAAAGTACGTGGAGAGAAAGGAGAACCGATAACGACGACGAATATGATGATTTCAATGACGACGACGACGTAAGCGACATTTACAGACGCTTCGTCAGTGAGTAACGAATACTCGTGAAGTGTGCACGTGCATCTACAAACGCATATCCTTTCTACAGAACGTGCAGTTTTGTCAAAATCAAGACGTATGTCAGTGGAATGCAACTCCAGTGTGGAGACTTTACGTTTGTTTATTCACAAGATTGCGTGGCTATTATTTAACTTCTCCTTGGATTAATTAGAGATTGTGTTTCGTGATGCATTGATTAAATCATGGTCACATATTCGAAAGTTACTTGCACATCCTTGTTATTCCATATCCTTGGAATTTACCATTGAAGAGATAGAAAACTCACAAAACAATAATAATAGAAATTTATTGCAAATGAACTGTTCCTTTGTAATATTAATTGATTAATTGGGGACACTCAATTTTTTCTATATCATAATTTCATTGATCTTCACAGCCTAATATCTTGTCTTCTGTCAAACATCGACGGGGAAGAATATTCTCTCGGAATGTAACTTATTATCGTTCCGGCAGTTTTTACACGTCTCGTCCATGGATCCGTATATTTTTTCTGGCGCCGAACTTGAAAGGTCTTCGAGAAGATCTCTCGCCTTTCCCCGAAAGTGAAGTTTGTGATAGAAATCGTGCAGATGGTATTTCCTTTTAGTACACAGTGTGCAACATGTGAAACCAATTTTATACAAAAAGGAGAGAGAATTGCAGGCATAAATAATTAATGTGCGTTTTTGTTGCTTAGGTGGAGTCGGTACTCAATTGATAATCTACGTCTTGGATTGATAATCTACAATGAACGTACACCAATGAAAAATAATAAATACAAAACGAGTTCGCGAGAAGTCAAAATAGACAACGGAACGAAAAGATTGTCAAGCGAAATAAAAGTGCGACCGCTGTTACGCCGTTGATAAGAAACGAACCGTTGAACTTTACCGGGAAAAGTGAGGATATACAGCCGCTGTTCCGATGATAACTCACTATTATTTATAACATTAACCCTGAAAATCACTCGATTCTCCGCCAAGATCGCTTGCATTCTAAGTGACATTTAAATTGCAATCGGATTAAGATATAAAAACGATCACCACGTGCCGCATCAAGGCATAAGGAAGATCAAGTTTTCTTCGCGGAAGAAACCTAAGTCAGAGAAACAGTGTAATCTTTCGCAATGGCGCGTTTCACGCTCATGTTTACGCACGAAGGAATAATAATCTGACTGCAACGTAACGCGTTGAAGAAGATGAAGAGAGAGACTATCAGCGAAATCTGCGATGGCGTACGGAACAGTGGCGAAAAAGAGAGTGATTTAATTCGAAGAAACCGATGACGCTTCCCCGAGATCGTATTTTAGGAAACTCCGTCCCTTAAGAACGCCGTCTTCTTTTTATTCTTCAGTCTTAAGTTATTCGCCCGCGTTTGCATGACACTTGACACGCCAATTCGCCCGTCCGCTGCAATGATTCGCACTACTTAGATTGTCCTCGTTTCTGAATAACGAAGGAAGATGTGCAAAGATTTTCTACGAAGCTGATTCTTCCAATCTTTGATCCAGTGAAGTTTCTCCAATGCGCTGTAATATGTTTTTACAAGAAGCTCTTCGTTAGTTTTCTTCGATATTAATTCAAAGTGTGTTATTTTATGTAACGTAAATTTATGATTATTTTGGAAAGACTATGCTTGAATAATTAGCGATAATACATTCTCTTCAAAGGTGGGCGGTGTATCAAAGCCGGAGGTCGTTTCCTGAATCGCTACGTCCGACGTGATTAGATGTTCTGTGCTCTAGTGATTTGATGCACTTTGCCATAAAGAATTGTTACTGCAAAATATCATATATCCGATCTGTGAATTTTTTTAATGCTCGAGATAAAATTCAGAATTTTAAGGACGGGAGAAATTATTCTTGATCTTATTGCCATGTTTGATTTTTTTATTTCTAATTAATGAATAATTATTGCAACAAACTGTATGTCTAGATTTTTGAGATATTTTTCTGAAATTTGAACCTTCAGTTTTTTCATATATAAAAGTTGCAAAGACAAAATCGTAAGAATTATCATCAATTCTTTTTCTGTCATTTCATCTGGAATATTTAAAATCTTCGTAAAATCTTCTATCATAAAATTTTACGAACTTACGAGTTATGCCGTCTTAAGTTTACTTATGCAGATCGCCGACTCATCCCATGGCGGTTGACGGCAGCGTCTGACATGAGAAATTCGAGATGCGAGCGGCGAACTGGTCGTTGATGAACCGAAATCTCGTCATCACGGAGGAAGTGCTACTGCTGCTGCTGCTTTTACTGCATTTTACTGCTGGAAAGGGAAAACGAGTCTCAGAAGAGAGAAACGCACGACAAAGAAGAAGATGAAGATGAAGATACGGGAGGTCATGTAGGATGTTCAAGCGGAAGAGGAAGAAGAATACGACGACTCGTGGATGGAAAAGAGAATAAGAAGAAGAGGAATGACGAGGAAGATTGGACGTCTTTGGCAAGATCAAACGAGCGGGGAGGAAGCTGCTGCGGGGCGTGATACTGGCGGCGATGTGTAGGAATTAAAGAGAGCACGGCAATCTCCACGATCTCGAGATCGTCTTGAAACTGTCACTGCCAATTTTGGACGCTGCGATGAGAAAAGGAAGAAAGAGAATTTTATTATATGCACCGTGAGATGAAATTCACTGAAGAAAGATAGAGTGGAAAGATACGGAGGAGAGTGGCAGAGAAAAAGAAAATACGAAACACAAAAAAGAATTATTACATGTTCTGATACGACGTTCTCTGAGAGAAGATAGGCGAGAAGAGCGTAGCAGAAGAAAGTATCAAGAGAAGGGAGAAAGAAAGAGAGAGTGGGAATCGAGTTTTTGCCCGGCTGTTGCACCACGAATTGCGATCACCACGTGGACGCAATGCAATAAAGCTCCATGTATGATTAATCGCTTGAGTAGTCTGATTTTTAATTTACTTCGCTTCTTCTTTCTCGATGTTCTTTACCGGTAGATGATGAAAAATGCTGCGAGCGACTTCTTAATTTGGATTTATCGCTTGACACGATTTATTAGCGGAATCCTATATGTACGACATATATACGACATATATATACGACATATATAATTTACTATCGAAACGCGATAGTAACAGTCAAATTTCGTGTTCAATGTTGTGTTCATTTTTTATCAGCGTTGATTCTGAAAAAAAGACGTTTTCTCAAAACGACCGATCGATAGCCACTATAATTCGGTGGTTCACCGCGTTGTGTTCGTCCTACTTTTTGCATCAAGCACTGCCATATAAGTACCCACTGTCTGCCAGCGCATATTACTTTATGTTACACGACATAATCCGAGTCACAGTGCCGTCTTCCGATATGTCTTTCGCCGTAGACTGTCTGAATTTCGCGCTCCTCTTCGTTTGCACACGCGTGTTCCATCTCGCACTTGGTATCAGCGCACAGTATTATAAGGTACATCGATCACAGTAATCCTTAAATTATTATATAGCAGCAAGAATAGTAGCCGCTCAGAGATATGTATTTTATGAAGAATTTAAGATAATTTTGATGAATTTTATGAAAGAGATAATGTAGAATAATTTATAATTATTGTAAAGATTTAAATTATTTTTATGTGTATTATAACAGGCCCAATTGGATGCGCATTTAAAACTTCATGGAGAAAAGTGGGCGAGCGAGGATGTGCGGAAATGCAAATTATGCAACAAACAATTCGTGCAGCCTGCACTCTACCGAATGCACATTCGCGAGCATTACAGGGTAAATAGAAAGAAACCTATTACGTTTCATAAGCAGTTCAATAACACTGACAATGCTGCGTTAGTTTATTTTGTATTTATTTCTTACATTTTTATCTTTATTTTATTTTCTTTGTTTTTTTTTGTATAAAACTGTAATTAACTTCTCTGTTTGCTTTATTCTTTTTTCATTCGGAGTGCTTTTAATAAACAGATCGCGTTCATACCCGAGAGTTTTATCGCATTTATTTCTCTACAGACGAAGATAGTAAAGCAAACTAAGAGAGGAACGAAACATAAAACAATGTACAAATGTACCATATGTTTGAAGACTTTCCAAAAACCGAGCCAATTAATACGACATATCAGAATACACACCGGAGAAAAGCCCTTTGAGGTAAACGCTTTCTGAAAGGAACTTATTGATGATAATACTTAGAATGATAGTTTGACACATACGCTTTTTCTTGTGCAGTGTACCGTCTGCAACAGGGCGTTTACGCAAAAAAGTTCGCTACAAATCCATGCATGGCAACACAAGGGCATTCGGCCACATGCCTGCAGTCTCTGTAACGCCAAGTTTAGTCAGAAAGGTTTGAGGAAATTTAAAATTACATGTTAAATGTCTCTGAACTGATAATACAATAAAAAAAAGAAATAAGTTAAGCTTAGAGAAATGCGTTATCAATCCTTATAATTATTTTTCCAAAATCTTTCACGTGAAAAATATTTTAGTATTATTTTTGTATTATTTTTATGAAAAATTATTTATTTTCAGTCGAATTATTAATTCAGAAACATCTTTAAGTATGCCATATCATACGTTTTAACAAATCATTGCGAATTTACTGTCTATTCTTTTAAAGGAAATTTAAAGGCGCATATACTCAGAGTGCACAATGCACCAGAAGGTGAATCAACGTATGCGTGTTCCTATTGTTCCTGCGTCTTTAAGAGGCTGGGCAGTTTAAATGGACACATAAAGCGAATGCATTCTGTTACCTCGGAGGTAAATATGATATTTCTTATGCAGAATGATTCAGAATTACAAACTGATGCCTAAATTCTAAGCAGAATCGTAAGACTCGTAATATATTTCTGTAAGAATTTTTAAGTGCTTATACCTTTATACAATATTGTTAGAGACAGTTTTTTATTAGCCATAAAATTTACAAGAAATCATAGATATTTATGAATAAAGATATTTATGCATAAAATTAAAATATTAGTCATAAGTTCTTACAAATTTTACGAGAATACATTACAAGTCTTACGATTCTGCTAAGAATTTTCTATTAGAATCGTTATGTTTGTTAGGAATTTAGCGCAAAATCCTCAGAAACTAATCCTATCTCGTCGGAAGCTGAAATGCGCGCGACCGTCGACAGTGTTATATCACAATTGGCATCTTTGGAATCCGTTGTGAATAATACAACAGATTCCACAAGAACTACGACCTTAAGTGCGGAACAAAATGATATTTTGCAACAGGCATTAAAAAACAGCGGTTTACCAAACAAAAACGATGTCATTCTGAAAGGTAATTGTGTTTTATAATTAGATACCATTTATTAAATGATAAGCATTACATTTAAATATAAATATAAAATTGCTTATAAACGTAATTTTTTATAAATATTTTGAATAATACAATGAATGTCTAATATTGCCTGCAGAAACCGCAGAACCAAAAAAGACTGATTCATCAACGTCGTATGTCACGCTAGTAGACAGAACTGCTGGTGGTACTTCGAGGTAATTTTTTATTTTAAACGAGAGCGTAAAATCGTGATGAATAGTAAATTAACAATTTAAAAACATATATGATTATCCACCGGAATGAATGAAATTTTATGTATTATTTATCATGGTTGCGTAATAAAAAAGCAATTATCTATATCCGCAGGAAGTATCTCACTATAAAACAACGCTGCGTAGGAAATGTACGGTGGTATGCGTGTTCATTTTGCCCAAAAGAATTCAAAAAACCGTCGGATCTGATACGTCATTTGCGCGTACACACTCAAGAGAAACCCTTCAAAGTAAGTTAATTTTTATTTTGTTTGAAAATGTAGAATGCGATCATATATATTATATATCTCTGATTTATTCTATATTTTTCAGTGTATGTATTGCGTGCGTTCTTTTGCGCTAAAATCGACAATGATAGCGCATGAGCGGACTCATACTGGAGTGAAGAAATACGCCTGCGAGTCCTGCGACAAAACCTTTGCGTGTCATAACAGTCTTACCGCTCACACAAAGCAAGTTTTAATATTTCTTATATGATTTCATATGTTTATGTTTTATGTTTATTTATTCTATATGTATCTATTCTTGCTTCATTTTTTTTAATATTGAATGCATATTTTCATCTCTATGTTCTCAGTTCTGTGTCTATGAACTTTTATTCTAGACTTTTTTTATTCTTTATTATTTATATTCTACTTTTTCTGGTCTTTTTTACACAAGACATAATAAGATCGTATTCAAATTCTTATTAATAAAGACCTATTCCTCATTTCAGATTACACACGAAACCGCACAAGTGCAATATATGCGACAAATCATTTAGCGCAAGCACGATTCTAAAAAATCACATGAAAAGCCACACGCGGGAGAAGCCCAAGATATCGCCGGAGGCGGAAAGTTTGGTGCCACAAGTGGTACTGCAAGAACCACTTGTCATTAGTGACGCTGGTAATAAAATCAGCGTGGCACAGGTGCAGTCAAAACAAAAACAATTATACGAAAATGTCGGCGTGACCAGGCCGCACGAATGTTGGGTTTGTCACGCGGCGTTCAGGAAAGTTAGTCATTTGAAGCAACATTTTCGCAGGCATACAGGCGAACGTCCTTACAAATGTTCCAAATGCGATAGGTTCGATATAGAATCTGACATTTCTAGTCTATAATCAAAAAGTTTCTTCAGCATGAGAACTATATAGAAATACAAAAACAAATTTTTTAATCAATCTATTAACTAATTTAAATATTAACATATTTGACATTGATCAAAATGTTTATGTCTTCTGATTTGTAGGAGATTCACATCGAACAGTGTTCTGAAATCTCACTTACATACGCACGACGATACGAGGCCATACAGTTGTTCTGTGTGCGACACGAAATTCTCCACACAGAGCAGCATGAAGAGACATTTGGTCACACATAGCAATAAAAGGCCATACATGTGTCCATACTGTCACAAAACGTTTAAAACATATGTCAATTGCCGAAAGCACATGAAGAGACACAAACACGAACTGGCACAACGGGTTAGTATATTTAATGTACGCTAGAATGCACTAGAGAGCCTAAGACAGGATAGAGATCCGAGAATCTCTGCCCTGTAGTCAATCAACAAGTTTGAACAACCTTGTCATATGACAAAAACATATAAATGTAATTCCATTGTTGACGTAGCTTTCTTTTAAGCTCTCTAGTGTAACGCTACAAAAAGTGTTCGAAAGTATTAAAATCTTATATGCATAAATAGCAATTGGAAGAACAAAAGATGCAAGCTCAGAAAGATTCACAGCCTTCGAGCGAAGCTAAGGAAGCTACATCATCATTACCGGAGAGCATCACTCTCACCGAAGATATGGAGGTGTCCTTTCAACCGCAAATGGCACCAGATTTTACGCAGGCTTTCTCTGATCAGTTTCAAAATATCAACACGGAGAAAGAAAAATCCTTTTTACTACCGGACAATACAACGCCATCGATAGTGAATCGTATGTTTTCCAAAAATTATATATAAAATTCAACAAAAAATAATGAAGCATTTAGAAATTGACGAGAATTAAAGCTGGATCTGATATGTATAATTTCAGAAAATTTATCTGTCGACACAACTAATTTAGGAACGTCGCAAACTTTACATGCCGATGAAACTGGTACTATCACGTTACCTAATTACTCAGGGGATCAAACTTTCACGCCGGTACGTAAGTTCAATATTCATAAAAGATGCATAAATGTATTGTGCAATGTAAAGAAAGATGCATGAATTTAGAAAAACTTGTAGGAAAGTATACGAGAGATAGAAGAAACTCTAAATCAGCAGTTATTCAACATGGGCATGAATCTCGAACTGGGAACAAACAATTTGCCGAGGCAGATGGACGAAGCGAACACAAATTCCAGAGAACAGCCAGTGCTCAATATTATATATGAACACAACAAATCTCTGGAATCGTCAGGCAATACCATATTCATGTCGCAATTTGATTCATTTGATATGAACCAAATAACATTGCAGGTGACTGTATTTTCTACTGCAGAAGCGATGATTTTATTTATGTATATCGATACAAAAGCATGTATTTTAATGAAGTACTAATATTAGATGTAGTAAAAAGAAATCCATTATTTTTCCAATAGATAGCTTTAGTAATCTGTATCACGCGTAGACGAGCCATCTATTGGAAAAATAATGGATTTCTTTTTACTACACCTAATATTTTATAAGCATGAAATTACTAACAATCCATTTTCCAGACGGATAATGATATAGACATTGGTTTAAATCCGAGCAACTCTATGAGTATGTCCAGTATTTTGCCCAGATCCATGGGAAGTCAACAAGAGAAACAAGCTATTCCAGTTACTACAACTAGCAATATAGACACTTCTCAAATTACGAGAAATACTCATCTGGTGGTAATAAATCCTAAAGAAAATTGTTCGGAATTAATGAGACTTTCGCAAGTATGCCCGTCAAAGTACTCAAAAGTCATCGCGAAAGCGGATACCACAAATGGATCGGAGATGCAAAGCATGAATGAGCATGAAAAGGCATCACAAAAAAGTAATGTTAAGTCGTGTGAAAACGAAAGAAATTTTTTTATGTAAGTTATTTTAATTCATATGTAAATTTACTGTCGAACAATTAAAAGATAAGCAATGCTTGTAGGAAGAATTTTCAAAGTACAATGCCATCGAAGACACTTATTTCATCTGGCATAACGGACAACTCAGCCAAAATATCGCAATGTAACACTCTGCTGCAATGTCACGTATGCGGCGATCAAGGTTTCACGACAGAGAGATTGAAGGTATAAAGAAACATAATTCCTAGATATTCGTATATTGAAACATAAAATCGCGACTACTTTCTGAATTATATAAAATTAACGTAATTATTACAGGAACATTTGAAATCTCATCGCGGTGACAAAGAGTATGAATGTTCCGAGTGTTCCCAGCGATTCTGCACGAACCGCGGTCTCAGTAAGCACCTGAAGATGCACATGAACAAGCAGTAAGTGAATTGATTGACAACAACGAGAGATGTTTCTCAATAAAAGATATCATAATTTTTTTTCACACAGGCGATGGAAATGCACGATATGTCAGAAAGTACTGGATAGCAAACTGCAAATGAAATATCACAGCAAAATGCACACCACAACTTGGAATGTTTCGTCTATGGAACCGGATAGCTCTCAGAAGAATGTTATTTCCTCGAGTTCCGGTTTACCATCCGATCTAACAACGCTGGATGTCCGAGCAGATTCAAACCCGTCTGTTTCTGAGAAGGTTTTGATGGCCGCAGTCGCCGAGAAAAAAAGCATGGACCGCGCTGATGTAAGTATATGCAAATATTTGCATTGATTCGCAAAGTTTTGCTTTTGTTAAGTGGATGATAATATTATTGTAACGTTATTTGATCGTTCAGGAAAATATAGTGAAGAAAGAAATAAAGGAATACACTAATAAATGCAAGTACTGCCCGAAAACTTTCCGTAAACCAAGCGATCTCATCAGGCATATTCGCACGCATACGGGTGAACGACCTTACAAGTGTGATCACTGCAACAAAAGCTTCGCGGTCAAGTGTACTTTGGACTCGCACATGAAGGTTCACACGGGCAAGAAGACGTTCTGCTGCCATGTCTGTAGCAGCTTGTTCGCTACAAAGGGCAGTTTGAAGGTTCACATGCGATTGCATACAGGTAATTTCCAGAATTTTTTTTATGTATCATAATTTTATGTTCTACACATAACATCAGGAATAATTACAATATAAGAAGAATTTTACTATTTAAATATTTTACCTTTTAATCCGGGAATAGTCACCTGATTTTTTTATGTAAATAATCACATGGAACATTTTTACATCTCATTAAAATAATTATTATTAACAACATATCACATATTTTATTAATTGTTTTTCGATTTGAGAACATTATGAAAATCAATTCAAACATAATTTTTTTTAAAAAGTAAGTAGAAACAAATATTAATACAGAATAAACACGTTAAGTAACTTATTAAGTAGTATTTCTAAAAAAAAATTTTAATTGATTTAACGCTTTTTTATTCTTTTCGATGAAATTGCACATCTAAAAATTCGTAAAGAATAGTTATTAAAAACGAAAGAAATTATTGAATATTTTAAATTATATCCATATAAAACAATATTTTACAATTTGCATTTTTTCGCTGGGATGTAAAACACCTCAGATGACTATTCACGAGTTAAATGTTAGAGTTACATATGTTAAATTAATATGAGAATTTTAGCTTGAAAGAAAAATGATAATGCATAATTATATATACGTCTTAAATTTTTCAGGTTCAAAACCATATAAATGTCTCGTGTGTGATCTTCGATTCCGTACTTCGGGTCACAAGAAGGTACATATGTTGAAGCATGCAAGAGAGCATAAGGGTGGCGTAAAACGCAAGCCGAAACACTCCAAGATCGCTGCGGTGGCGGAAGCAGCGGCGAGCCTTGAAAAACTCGGCAATAGTTCTCTTGATAATGCAACAACGACGACTGCCATAATCAACGATGAAGCTGCGCCGTCGCAGAATCTGAATTATTCCACGTTAGAGCAAACAGTGAATCTCGGTACTGCGGTTCATCTGCCGAATCAAATCGCGTTTAATCATACCGACACCACGACAATCCTCAATAACAATTCTATACTATCTGTGAACGAAAACAACGAACTAGTCGCGAATCTGCAGTTTTTGTTGGCAAATGGTCTCGTAACTTTTCAAACGGACGATACCCTGCTGACGCAATCAACGACAAACAGTTCCGATGCTACCGGCGCCGGAATGCCAACTAACATGATCGAGTTAGTTAATCCGGATCCTTTTCAGGAAGCTTGCAACTTGGGTAACACCAATCACGTGGTGATAAGTCAGGTGCCAGGGGAGACAACGACCGCGGATACGAGCAACACGGCAGTTATTCAAATGAACAATTGTATGCCTCCTGTGCCTATGGTACAAATTCAGACTCAAGATACAAATAGCGTCGGTGTGTTTGAAGCAAAAACGAGTAATCAAACAACGACAGTAACTATGGCGAAAGCTTCGGCGCAGCCTTCCAATAAGGAGTGCGATGTATGCGGAAAAACATTCATGAAACCGTATCAATTGGAACGACATAAACGTATTCATACAGGCGAAAAACCGTTCAAGTGCGAACAGTGCGGCAAGTCGTTTGCGCAAAAATTTACGCTGCATCTACATCAACAACATCACACCGGTGATCGGCCGTATTCTTGTCCGCACTGCAAGCGCCTTTTCACGCAAAAATGCAACTTGCAGACACATCTGAAACGCTTCCATCAGACGGTCATGCTCGATGTTAAAAAACTGAAGAGTGGCCAGCAGATGCTGGGCACACTTCTACAAGACAATCAAGGCGCCACTACCAAGCTGCTAAATCTGGACGACATACTGGTGGTAGATTTTCTCAAGTAAATATCTTAAAAGAAGTTCTTTCGAGAAAATCAACCCTGTGACTTGCAAGCAAATCGCTTGTATGTATAATATAATGTACTAATTAAAAACGTGCCACTGATAAATTTATCGATGATTGAATATTACGCTTTTAAATGATGAAAAGATATGAATGAAAGATTTCGAACGTTAAGTAAATCAAAGCTGTGATGAATGTTTTATTTTATGTATCTAATGCTGTAATGTAACAGTATGCTGTACTCGAGATATAATTTAATTTTGTTTAGTTGATTATTGTTATATTTTGTATCTCACCGAGCTGCATATGAAACTGTTGTACGAGAATTTCATTTTTTTTAGCATCGACACAATTGACATTTATTTTCTTTTATTTAAATAAAATAAAACGCACTGTTACATACTCGTTTAATTCAACATAGATAAATACATAAAACTTTTCAATAACAAAACAGAATAACAAAACAAGAGAAACTTAATGCTGGAAGTCACAGTCGATTTCGAGAGCGGGACACCCGTCGGGATGGTTCTTGTGAAACCAACAAGGTTTTACTTTCCTTAAAGGTGTGCTAGCATTCTTCCTCCTCTTTTTCTTCTTGCCAGTGCCGGGAATTCTAAACTGCACCTTTCCCTGAGCAACGCAGAAGATGTGACTGTGATTCTTCAATAAGGTTTGCAGCCCGCCGCACTCGTTTCGTAGTTGTTGCAGCATTCCAGGCGCGATCAGCTTCGCCACCTCGCCGATGTCGATCTGTCCGCCGGCGTTCCACGTTTTATCAGGTTTCCGCTCCAACGGTATTCTGCAACTCACGCGAAGGAGATGTGCCACGACTATATTTACTATCTCAAGGATCAGTTCTTTATCCAACTGTGTGCAATTCCGTGTTTGTTCTGTCGAGTTCCTCGGTTTGAAACTCGCGGACCACAATTCGCTGTCTCCCGTGTCAGTTCTTACACTCTCTACCTGGGACCTCGCGTTTATAATCCTCTGAATATCGGTATCCAGCGCCGCGATATTCTCCTTTGCGTAAGTCCTCTTCCATCCGACGAAACAAGTCCGCTTGGTCGATGGGATTCGCAATCTGTCCACTAATGTGAAGAAGCCGCAACCTTCGCAAACACTTTTAACGTAGGACATGTACTCTGAGTACTGACTCTCGGCAGCGTTGCATCGTCGATACTTGCTACCATCGAATTCGTAGGCGCAACATGGCAATAAGAAAAATCGGCACTCATAGGAACTACGCGCAGCGATCACGGGAATCCACGGGGTGAGTTCGTCCGAGTGATTCCCTATGATCCAGTCTACATTAGAAAAGACTGTATCTGAGGATGGAATGATTGTACCGACCTACAAAATAACCATATGATTATTGAAACAAAACGAAATTAAATCTGATAAAAATTAATATTAACATTATTAAATTTATATCAGTCTATTATCCTAATATATATGAAATAAAGAGTACTCATACGATCACAATAAATTGTTAATGAAAAAAGAACACGAGCTTACTTATGGATTGACATAATTAAAATGAGATAAAATTATAATTGCATGATAAAATAAATATTAGCATTGTTAAATTTATATCAGTATATAAATGGATCAATTTCTAATACTGAAATAAAAATATTAGTCATAAGATCACAATAAATTGCTAACCAAGGGGAAACGCGAGCTTAATTATGGACTGACGTAATTAAAACAAAATTATATTAAATATAAAATAAATATTAGCATTATTAAATATTATGTCAGTCCATAAATTTGTTTATCAATTTCTAGTATATATGAAATAAAAATATCCATAAAATTACAAAATTGTTAACAAAAGAGAAATGGCTTTTAATTATGGACTGATATAATATCCAAGTTTATTCAAGTCGATAACGGTTGCAAAAAAGTTTTCACACACTTGTAAATGAGTGCTCTTTGGAAATAGATCCCAGATCTTTCTTCTGCGCAAATCGATTCCTGTCCCTGTATGACCTTCGCTAGACAAGATGTAGACGAGAAGGCCATTTCCGCAGCCAAGATCAAGGAATGATTGCAGCTCTTTCGTTCCCTTTTCCAGTCTCTCCTTCTCCCAGAGTAATAAGAGATAAGTAGCAATCGCAACATCCTCGTAAACGAACTTCGTTGGGTCAGTGTTCTCCGGCCACACATTCACCATTCCTGTGCCATACTTCTCTTTCAGTCGATTGTACAGCAAGGTATACTTCTCGACGGAGATGAGACTAAGGGAACTGATCCTCGGACCGGTGTTATCGTTTTCACTGTTTATCCATTTTATCAATCGTGGAAAGAACTTAGATTTAAGCCAATCGCAGCTTCTGCTGTAATTATCGTTTGATTTACATACATTTATACATGTAGATGCATACTCGTGATGCTGTATTCTGTAGGTTATATTCAGACCTAGAGATTGTTTACCTAGGACAATCGGTTTGTGAAAACTGGTAACGCTAACCGATTTTTTGTCAATAAATACGAATTCCAACGTAGGCGAAAATATTTGTGTGTTTCGAGGCAGCAGTTTTTTTACGCATAGGTAAATCTTATCATCATTCACAGTCTCGATTGGATTTGCAGTACATTGAACTTGGCAATATTCCGCAATATCTAAAGTGTCTAATAAATATTTTACATCTCCCGACGTTGAGTCGCACTTAAAATCATCAGTTTGGATTTTTAGCCTTTCAACATGTTCGAAAATATCTAAAACGTCACAATTGACTTGGATCATTAATAGCTCTTGAGATGCTAGGATCCGACGATTAACAACATGAGGATTTTTTATCCAGATCCCAATGGCATTCCAGAACTGTGAGTTACTGCTGTTAGTGGTCTCGCAAACAATCTCCTCAAAATTCATTTTTTTCTATCTAATACTAATTTATCATATATTTCAATTACAACTTATGTTGATTTATCATTTGGGCGTTGGAGTACCACCTGGCTGATTATACTGTTGTAAAAAAAAAAGCCAGAAGTTATTACTGATATTCAAATAACGAATTTAATACAAGTTAACGAGGAGAATACCTTTTGTATCACCCATTTAGCATCTAGTAGTGCTTTCTCCATGATTTGCTGGATGCGTTCTTCATCGGACTCCGAGACATGCTGCTTGAAGCTCTAGGAAAAAATTTTTGTCTTCAATAACAAAAGTTTATTTATTAATAGACAATTTGTTACAAATCTACTTTTCAGATCTATTTTTCTTGCAAAAATTGTAATAATTATTAAGAGATTTAGTTTAACATTCTTTAACTTTCTTATTAAATTATCATTATATCAGAAAATCATTTTGTATTTACTTGCTTGACCGAGTGCTTGTAAAATTGTTGCGTATGTTTCGGTAATTTTTCGCATTCACGCAATAAATATTTATACAACTGTTTAGACGTATTTATCGTCGCGCTGCCGATCACTCGGTTCGCCATCGTTTCTCGGGAATCGTGAGGCGCACGTGGAATCGTAAGTTTCTCTCTCCTTCCCATTTCTATTATTACTATTTTCAATGTACCGTGTATTGATAGCAAGTCTTATGGAATATATCCACTATTGATAAAATAGAAAGCAAAGACTTCTCTTGTTCAAAGCAGATTTGTACTGACAGATAATTTAAGCAAATTAATAACTTTTATATTACCTTTTGTTGACAATATAAAATTGTAGTATTAATTAAAAAATAAATACTAATCGGTAAAAATATTAAAGCAAAGATTTCTCGTTTAAAATAATTAATTTGTGCCAATAGATAACTTATATGACAAATTATGACTCTATCTTTTGTTAACAATATAAGATTGCAGTATTAATTAAAAAAAAAAGCTAATCAGTGAAAATTAAAATAAGATACAAAAATTAAATTTTTGTGAAATACAGAAAAATTAGAGGCAAGGCTATAAGAAATATTATCTCTACTCTTATAATCATGACGCACATCTTGTCAAGAAGAATGAATTGGCACATTTTTAATTTTTTAATATCTTATCTAATAGCGATACAATTACTTAGTTCTTATTTTTCTATGTTTTAATGATATAAAGATAAAGAGCCCCAATCGCGATATTTTCTGACAGACTGATTCAAAATCATAACATTGAATCAAAATAACACACAAAAACCATTCTCATTGTTCGATGAATAAATACTTATATACAATTTATTTTTGATGATGTCATGTGATGAAGATGAAATGTTACAGCAGATTGAGACTACGATACGGTGCAGAGTCTTTGAATTTTTTTTGCAGTCTTAGGATGTTATTTCATTTGTGTGTTTGTCATATGACAAATGTGTATAGAACAGGGAGATCTTCGGATCTCTCTATCCCATAATCAATTAACAGGCTTAAAAAATTTGTCGTACGACAAAAACGCACAAATGAAATATCACCCTTATTTATACAATTCCATATGCAACACACAATACAATAACCAGTAGAAAGTTTCAAGTAAGATCACAGCAATCTTCCTAGCAATCTCGAGTACGTTCGTTATTCGTCGAATATGTATTCGCGTTTATCTTTCTCATTGTAATTGATATTTTTTTATACGATTGATATCGCTCATATAAACGTTACTACATCACATACGCTTATATAAAAAATCGTATTTTACGAAATATTATTGTTCCAGTATTAGAACTTAGAACACTTATATACTATATATAAATTCTATATGTGATGTCACGATCATTGATCTGCAAAAAGTGTTCGGTTAAAGCTATCGTTATTCTAAAATACCGATATATCAAAGATATTAAAAAATAAATATATATTTATATATATACGAGAAGTTGTAACAAGTAAAAAATATACAATTGTTATATGCTATGGTGGTCGCAATAAAAGCCACCTAATATCCTTGATGGGAAAAGGGGAGAAATGGGAAACAACCGATCTTTACCGTGACGAAACAAGGATATTACGTACACGAAAAATCACAACCAACGAGTAGCCAATTATTATGCTAGTAACAAAAATAATGATTAATACGATTAATATTACAATAAATTATGCCGTACGGCTTCAGGAATTTTACGAGGGCGGCACTCGCTTGCTCCGTCTGTCGGAATTATTAATTTGATTAACGTTTACTCTCGACGAAGTCACTCATATATTTGTAAACTGTACCGCGATATTGTCGAGCAACCCTTGATTACCGTTCCTTTTTTTTTCTTTCGAATTAGGCATCGTTATTTCTGACGACTTTACTAACTAACATCGTATTTTGGCATTTTGTTCTGGCAGTTTGTTAGTTCGTGAAATGCGTGAAAAACGTATTTAAGATACATATAAAATTGGATGTTAAATGATGCACGGAGTGAACTATATTAAGCATCACAACTATAGGGTTGCTCTCGACTCTCACTCACGCGAGTATCTATTAATAATTGCCCTGTCTAAAATCTAAATAACAAAGTAATAGCTGCTCTATTTTTATATAATCCTCAACCAACGCTAGCTATCAAGTATGCCGTGCTGAGGGATGTCGATTCTGACAGAAAGGAGGGCGACCGCCTATGATCACAGAGGGATTCTAAAGAAATATAGAGTCCTATCACTTAAAGTAGGGATTGTTTAGGTTTCGCTCGAAGACGGCCGTTCCCAGCAACACAACCATCTACGCCACAACGGGGGCGGCTTCCTACGCCGGTATAGTAAATTGGCGCCTCCGCGTCGCGTATTGAGGGCACTGACTATCGCCTGATCGAAGGCCTCTTTGAGGTCGTGTTGCGTTAATGCAGACGTCTCTACATAATTGACGGCGCCTAGTCTGTGCGCCAATTGATGCCCCTGAATAGTAGTAATCGCTGATTGCCCGTATCGCGCCAGTTGCAGCATCAAACGTACGTCCGATCTTAAGTCGCTTTTTGTCCCCACCTAAAAAATTGTAACAAATAATTTATATTTTATATATATATATCATCGCAATAATAGAAAAGTGACACAAATAAAAAATTAGCATTAAGGTTGCATTAGTATCTGAATTTTGAAAACTCATGATACAATTTTAAACAGTGCGTATAATTATGAATACATACATTAAGAAAAAGATACTTAAAAACTTGTGAGATATATTTATTTTATAGAAATAAATTTTTATTTATATACGGCGAAATAAAATTTTATTTCTAGAAAATAAATCATCTATTTCATTTTTTTACAATTAATGAAACATATTTCACAGAAATGTATATTTCGTCTATATATATATTATATGTATAGTCAAATTTTTTCATAGTCAATAAATATCAAAGGAAGCATGGCATATAATTTACTTGCAAATATTCACTTGCAAATATTTCTACTTTTTAAGTAGATAATTGAAACATATAACATGGAAACTATAACATGGAAAAAAAGTAAAATGATGAATATTCACTGGCCAATTAAAATGTTCCAATTGAGAACTTAAAATATAGTATAATTTACTGAAAAGTTGCTAATTTTGATGTATTATTTTTCTATCAACGTGGCAATATAATATATATTTTATTATAATACATATTATAATAATTATTATAATTGTTATATTACTTTACTAAATAATTACTATATTATATTACATATTATAATTACTATTATAATTGTATTATTTCTAATATCATATTATGGCAGTATCGATAAAAATTCTTATAAATTTATTAGATTAGAATATTAGAATATATATAATAGAAATATATAATGTGTAGAAAATTATATTAAAATTGGACATAAATCGTACCAAAATGATTGGAGCATTAGGACAGTATTTTCGCACTTCATTGATCCATCTGGAAGCCACACTGTGGTAAGATGAGGGACATACAACACTGAAGCAAACTAGGAACACATCTGTCTCGGGATAGCACAACGATCTCAGAGGGTCAAAGTCATCCTGGCCTGCTGTATCACATAACTGGACATTCAATGGTTGTCCATCGACATTTACGACCACTGGATAGATATTACAAAGATATTAGTATTATTGAATTGATATATCCTTATCTATTAATGATACATTCTTATCTATTTTCTCAGAATAAAATGTTAAATGATAATTAAAATTAAAATTAAGAGATCAATTAGGTACAAAAAAAAAAGGTAAATAATGTAAATATCTTATAACATTTATCATGCATATTACTCTTTAAAAATTACACTTTATACAAATTACACTTTTATACAAGATACATATGTTGATTCAAGATATATACAAAGCATACCCACAAATCACAATCCCAAAGGCTACAGCCGCATCATTAGCAAATAAATGCAAAAAGTATACACACCGTTGTAATTGTCAAATGCAGTTGGCACGTATTCTCCAGGAAAACCATTGGTGGAGTATGAGACCACCAAGCTGGTCTTACCGACCGCACCGTCGCCCACTAGGACTACTTTGATTCTCTTATCAAGGGGTGTCGCAGGATGCTCCACTATGTTTTGATTCTGTGCTCCAGTGCTAATAGCCATCGAGGACGTCGTCGTCGCCATTGTTACCGTCGTTGACTGCTGCCTAGCAGCCTGCATCTGCATTGTCTGTCCGCTCTTGAGCAACGGCCTCGTCCAGTTGGTGTGCGAGGACGGCGGCATTGTCTCGCTCTTGATCTTGCCACAGCTCCGATCTTTCATGCGTCTGTTAAGAGGTGTACCGTCGACGCGGATGCGACGGGACTCCTCGCGTAATTGCCGCCTCCTCGGCGCCGACGTAGACGACGACGTTGAGCCTCAGGGCGCCGTCCAGCTGTAACGTCGTCGCGTCATCGAGCACGTCATTCCATTGTACAGGGAACTGCGGGGAACGGCACAGTGTTGAGATGACGAATGAGATGCTGGTCCACCTGGTGCGATCCTCTACGAGATTCGGAACGAACGTAAGATCGAGATAAGCAGCGCGAAAACAATGGAAGATGATGGGTGATTGGGAACGAGCGGGGGAACCCGTGGTCGAGCGAAGCGCACAAAAAAAGCTAGTCCGAGCTGGTCCGACGATTCACCTGCCGCGATGCGGAGCCACCTGTTACTGCGCCCCCGCCTCCTGGTGTGCGCCCGCCGGTGTCAGCACGGCATCGCGTGCAAACACACGCAGACACGCACGTCTGCTGGACTGGACGCGCGCGGCGTGACGGCGTGACACAGGTGGATTCGGGACGTGCGTAAGCGGCTCGCGCTCGCGCCGCTCCGCGTCGCGTCCTTCAACTGCCATTAACCCTTCCTCCGAAAAAATTACCTGTGAAAGTATATTGGTGCCTATTAAACATCAACTGACAATAATATAACAGCATGTTATGATTTCTTCAGGTCCGGTTGTTCCACCTTTTGGTAAATTTTACCTGTTGAGTAAGTAGCAAGATTATCCAATCACATGCGTGGATTACCAGATTTACTTCACAGATAAAATTTGTCAAAAGGTGGAACAATTGGCCCTCAACGTAACAATATAATCGTAACAATATAATTACATAAAATGTATCATATATTTACATTGTTGACTGGGAAATTACAATATTGATGTTCCTAACGTTACATATTCATAGAAAATCCGATTTGTATTCCTAATTGTGCCACATATTCCGGAACAGTAAAAGAATTATCATCACAGATGAT